TTAGTTGTACCATGCGTTACAAAAATGTGAAGAACATATAGTTACAGTATAAAGAACATACAGTTACATTTAATCACACGGAAATTTCCAGGCGTCTATTATAAATAAGTAAAAGATAAATTCTATATCATTTTACCCAGCACTCAGATAGAATTTTTTTTTTTAAAAAAAAAAAAAATTCAAATTCTCTGATTAACTTTCATTCTCTAAAAATTATTTTTTGTTTCTAAAAATAGTTCAAGATTTTCTTTTCAAAATGCTTGTTAAATTTACAGATGTTCTTTACAAAATATTATCATGTTCTTTATTAGTATATTATATATGTAGTATATTTTTGGATATTTAGTTATAATATACGTCATGACTTCATGTGTCTTAATGATTGTTATGTGTATCCTTGTAATGTTCTTTATATGATAAAATAATGTTTTTTTATTAGAAAATATGATGTACTTTATATTTGTATGTAATGACAATTAATTATTTACACTATGTTCCTTCCTTATGTCCATTATTATATTAGGTAATGATCTTTATTTGATCTTTTGATTAACTATTTTAAACATCTATGTTCTTTGATTGTAAGTGTAATATACTTTTATTGTCACATAATATTCATTGCTGATTATGAAATTTGTTGAAACTTAAAGGTTTTGATGATGATGAACTTAAACTAAAGCAAACTCAACTCATAAAGGTTTATTAGTGTTTGATTAGTACAGGTGAAGTAGACCTTGGTGGTGGGAGAGTAACCCAAGCTAAGAAGACATGAAAAGACCTTTGAAGAAAAGTTAGTCAAAATAGAAGAAGAGTTCTCTAACAAGAACTAAGTTCCTTAACAGGAATGTTCCCTAACAGGAACTTGGAGATAGCAAGCTGAAGACAGTAAGTTCTGGAAAGAACTTAGTCTGCGAAGTTCCAGTTGAAGAATGGAGCATAAGTGACAACAGGAACTTGGTGTCCTGGTTTGCGTGAAGCCCAAGTGGTCCATATTTACAGAAACGTGGCAAAACAATATTTATTTAGTTAAGATTTTATCTTCTAGATTTATTGCTAAATATGTTAAGTAGATTTACATGAAACCTATTAGAAGCGTGACAAGTTGCTTGGCAAATCTAATTAAAACGGAAAAGATAAAAGATAGATTTTAAATAAAGATTTTCTAATTGATTTTATTTCTTAAAATCCATTTAACAAAAAGATATTATTCTTTTTGTTAAATCATTCTTTATCTTATTTTTCCGAAAAGATTTTATTACAAATGATTTACATAAAACAATGTTTTGTGATTTAGTTAAATTAACTTATTTATATTTTGTAAACCCTACTTGCATTGCTATATGCGTCAATCTTGTATAAATAGTAGTGATCACATTTCATATGTTTTTGTGAGTTTATGCGTGAAAAAATCTCTGATCTTAATTTGTGTAAGCTTTCCAAGATTTTAATCTTGTCATATTAGTTTCGGGTTTCGTGCATTGCTTGCCTAACATATTCTAGGTGTTTTATACTCTGTATTGGTTGGGTTATTTGGTGTGTGTGTGAAATTTATATTGCATACAGGTGTGTAAGCTTTGAGTGAAAAGCTGCGAGGCAGTACGGTGTTAGTACGAGTGAATCCAAGTGTGGAACTTGGGTTGGGTTGGGTAGGATAGGGTCTTACTGTGTAGCAAGTTCAATTTGGAACTTGTGAGTAAAGGTCTGTTTTATAATAGGTTTTAACTTGGTGTTTTCCCTATTATAGTGAATTGGTTTGGTTTGGAAATCCCTTAGACGAGTCGAGGTTTTACTTCCAGTTGGGCCCTATAAGGTTTCCTCGTAAAATCTTGTGTGCATTGCAAAGTTCCTTTATATTCTGTTTTATATTTTGCAAAAGTGGTCACTAGGAACTCACCTACAATTCACCTCCCCCCTCTTGTAGTGTTCGTTTCAATTAACAAAATGTTCTTTGAATTTTGTCTTTGAATTATGATGAGTAAATAATATTTTTAAAACATAGAACTAATAATATCCAAAATAAATCTAATATATATATATAAAGGGGAGTTTTTTCCCGAGTTTTTAGGGAGCCATGTAGGATTTAATTTTCTTAGAACGCCACGTAGGATTATAAATTTTTGTTGTAGCCAATCAAATAAGAGATTATTATTTTCTTTTATAATTAAATAATTCAAATGCCACGTAAGAAAAATTGGCGAATAAAATTTTTAAGTTTAAATTAATTAAATATTATATATTATCTTTTGATATTAGGAATTTTATCCAAATATATAACAAATTTTAGCACATTAATACAAAAAAAAATTATTTAAAAAAAAATCAAACAAACCGTGCATCGCACGGGCTTCATCTAGTATTATAATAATTAAAAGGAAAATTTGAAAATTACCACCATGTATAGTAGTCAAAATTGAAATTACCACCTCAAGTTCTTTTTTTATCTTACCACCTAGTTTTTTTCAACAACTTTTTAAACTCCCACCTGCTTTACAAATGACGTCACCATATATAAGCCCATTTTTGTGTTTTCCCTCTCTTTCCCTCTCTCTTCCCTTGAATTCCTCTGTTTTCCCTTGTCGTCCTTCTCCCTTATTTCGATTTCTTCTCTGAAATTCGTTTTTGATTACACAAATTTCGAAAATTAGGTATAAATTTCTACAATATAACCTTTTTCAAATTGAATTTATTAGTGTAATTAGGGTTTAGGTAATCAATTTGGTGGTTTTGCTAAAATAAAAAAAAATTAGGGTTTGTGAAATTGAAAATTGGACAATTAAACAAGTAATTGTGGCGAAAACACAATTAAATCATGCAATTGAGGCGAAAACACTAACATTGCAGTGGTGATTACTCATTTAGACGAAAACACAATTAAATCATGCAATTGGGGCGAAAACACCAACACAGCCCAAAATACCAAAGTGTTTGTGGTAAAATTACATTATAGACATCCCAAAAAATTATGCAGGTTTTGCTCTCAAGGTCCACTATTACCCTATCTCCTCCAAACTCCACCTCATACTTATCATCTCTTGAAGCTTGGACAATGCTAGACCTTGAAACATACTCTATGCCCTTTAAGAAAGAAGGAAGACAAGGGAAAACAGGGGAATTCGAGGAAGAAAGAGGGAAAGAGAGGAAAAACGCAAAAGTAGCCCCCATGATGACATCATTTGTAAAACAGGTGGAAATTTAAAAAGTTTCGGAAAAAACTAGGTGGTAAGATTTAAAAAATAAAATTAAAAAAAAAAAAAACTTGAGGTGGTAATGTCAATTTTGACTACTATACATGGTGGTAATTTTCAAATTTTCCTAATTAAAAATGTCACTAAAAACTTAGTTTTGAATAAAATATGTTAAAACAAAAATATGTGTGTAGACACCCATTTGTGTCTCCCAAAAACCAAATCCAGTGATAAGTACCTTTCACGTCGAATCATAATCGAATGAAGTGAAAGTGTGGAAAGTTTAGTGTTGCGGATAGTTTTAATTTCTTTTCTCTTCTCTCTGTTTTTGAAAACCTATTTTAAGAAAACAGCCAATCCAGTTTGGTTGGTCCATGATATGGGTCCAATAGTAGTGTAGTTGGATGAGGCTTGAAAAGAGCTTTTCAACGATATATTATAAGCCCAATTCTGATGAATATTGAGGAAGTTATGGCCAATTTACTGAACTGAGCCCGGTTTGAGCCTTATATGCGGCCCAATGATCTAGAGGAGGGCCTAATATGGATTTATCATTCCTAATGCAATTAGGAATGGTTTTAGTCTTCTAGATTCTTCTAGAAGGTTCTTTTCATTTCTAATTCAATTAGCATTGATAAATTGACTTTTGTTGACTTTTTAGAGTTTTATTTAGAATCAAATAACGTTTTTTGAGGAAAATACGATTTTATCCTCCTGTATGTCAATTTCTATTTAATTTTAAGAAAACGCGTGAATTTCTGATTCAGCGCCAAACGCCAGCTGTAGCGCCTGGCGCTACGCTTGGCGCCTGACACTAGCCTTAGCGTCTGGCGCCAAGGTCAGCGTTTGGCGCTAATTTGGTTTTTTGCGTCAGAACTCTGTTTTTGATGTTTTATCTTTTTGGTTGATTTTCTCTATAAATAACGTGCTAAAAACTTCGTTTTCATTCATCAATTCTTATTCTTACCAATTCACCAACTCTCTTCAAGATTTTCTTGATTATTCTCTCTCTCTTTTCTAAACTAGCCTTCTCTCAAATATAATTATTCCGCATTCATTAGACTTAGAAACACCTAGCCAAGTTCGAAGTTGCCTTCACCCTAGACGTGAAAGGTTTAATTTCTGAGGGTTTGGTCCCAAATCTTTATTTTAATTATTTAATTTAATTGTTTTGTTTATTATTTTCCTTGAAGTTACTAATGTGTGTATTTTGTTATTAGAAAGAGGTACGAGGCATCTAAGTAAGTACTTTAATGGTTTAACTGATATTATGATATATAAATCATGTTTAGTTTGTTATTTTGATTCCCAGTATCATGTTAGGATGTTATCCTTAATTTGATGTTTAGGGTGACAACAATAAATTCCTAGTATCATGTCTAGGCTAACTTTAATACCAAGTATGATTAAAATTATGATGCCTTTTATGTTCTTCCTAATATTTATGATTGTTAGTACTATGTTAGGGTTAAAGTTTTGATTTTTATTGTTTTGTGACATGCTAGGGTTTGTTATTAATCTTGTTAGTATCATGCCTAGGATCTTGCTATTATTATGATTTAACATGATTATGATTATGATTATTTTTAATTATTATTTTTATAATTATTATTATGATGATTATGTAGGGGATTATAGGTACTACGCAGCGGAAATAAACATGAATCATATTCATACAGTACCTAATCCCAAGATCTAATGCATAACACATAAAGAACATATAATCGTACCTTTGAAGCGTGATTCCACGTGCGATCGAGCAAGAACGTTGGGAGGTAAAGAACCTCAAGCGTGATTCCTCTACTTGGTCCACGGGCACAGATTAAGACCTCCACTAATGCTAGTTAGTTGCAATTGAACCCTTCAATTGACCTTCTATGGATAAGTGCGAGCAAATACCTTTATTCTATCAGATATACATTTAGGAAATAAGTCAAACCACCAAGATATCTTTAAACTCCTTATTTCGTCAAATGTCAACAATAAATCACGAAAATTATCCAAAATATTGTCATACCAAGTACTTAGAGCTAATACATACCAGGATTAATGCAATCGTTAAAGATTGACTCGATCATGGCGTTGACTTCATCCTCTCTAATGGGCCTTTGGGCTCCAAGAATCTTTGGGTTAAAAAACGCCAAACTACTTGCCTTCCGAACTTTAACATAATAAGACCCATAATCAGCCCAAATAAATCCCACATCATTTCTAGTAATTCTCCCTGCAACTGACCTATGCCTATTAGCCAAATCATGATCATGCTCCTTCAAAACTTGCTTTGCTAGTTCACCATTTGATACCACAATGTTTAGTTCCGACGCGAGCTTGAAAGAGATTATAGGGCCGTAGGTTTGCGCCCATTCGTGGAAGCACCTACACCGGACCGGTTTTATGTCGTAAATGTTACCGATGACTGGCCACGGCCTTGGACCGGGGGGTAGCTTGTACCGGAACCGCTGGAAGACATAGTGAACAATAACAATGAAAATAATAGAAATTGGTATGGTTAAAAAAAGAATCATATTCTTTAAGTGAACTATTGGTGTGATTGTTTGTGTATGAGGAGGTAATCATATATTGTAAGGTTTAGGTTTTAATAATATGGAGGTTTATAGTAGTGTATATTGTTTATAATTGGGAGTATTATTGATCTAATGTGTCACTATAATACCCCAAATATTTTATCAATGAATTGTACACAACACATGTTATAATATAACTTGTATTCCACGTAGTTTCTACTTTGTTTATTAAACTATATCAATAATTGTTAACAGAATAGTTGACTAAAAAAATTAAGAGACCACTAACGTCAGACTTTTATGTGTTATTCTTATGTAAAAATTAACTTTAGACACGTATGCTGTTTTTTTTAGTAATACCAACAATAATTACTTAATGGTAAGCTATTAATAATAAATAAATAAATAAATAAATAAATAAATAGTAGAACTTAGGCACACATAATTAAAGTGATTAAAAAATATGGAGAAATATATAATCATTAATAATATGCCATTAATAAAAATAAAAATAAAAATAGTTGAACTTAGGCAGACATAATTAAAGGGATTAAAAAATATAGAGAAATATATATTCATCAATAAATTGTATGAAGTAATCCATTAATAATCACTATCATGGAAATAGAACTTATTAGCTAATAACTTAATAAAAAAAAATTAAAAAAACTGACACCCATAATTAAAGAGATATTTATCAGAAAAAAATTGTAAGAAGTAACTCATTAGTAATCACTATTAGCAAAGTAGTACTTAGGGTCTGTTCATATATACTTAATTTCAGTTCTGTTTAATTCAGTTCAGCTCCAATCAGTTCAGTTCAGTTCAGTTCAGCTCCAATCAGTTCAGTTCATTTCAGCTCCAATTTTCCTCTCTCATAAAATATTCATTTCAGCTTAGTTCAGTTCCGTTCAACTCCAATCAGTTTAGTTCAGTTCAGTTCAGCTCCAATCAGTTCAGTTCAGCTCCAATCAGCAAATGTGAACAAACCCTTAAATATTTAAATGACAGAAGAAAGAAAAAAAAAGTATGTAAATAAGTAGGTGGGGGGAAGAACTTGAACCTGAGATTATCAAAGGAGTTGTGCCCATTTAGTTCCCCTAGTTAACAAAATTTGTTTATCTAGGGGCATAATCATCTTTTCAAGTATCAGTGAAGGGGTACATGCAACTTTTCATGTACTAATTGAGGGATACATGTGTAATATTCTAAATACAAGTTGCAAATAGTAATTGAACAGCTCACCAAAAGTATTGAATAAATGACCACGATTTTTTAATATATTTATAGAAATGCAACCAGATTAACAAAAAATTGTTTATCTGATAAACTTGTATCTGTCGTTATCAAAGAGGAAAGAATAAACACCCTCATCCACCAAACCAAGACCATATTTTGTTGATTAATACTCATTTTGTTGTTAATAAATGGATGAATTACCCGCAATAATTCGACCTTTGCTTCATCCACTAAAAATAAATATCACATTTTTACTACTTTATAGTAATCCGACCTTTAATGCCAATCCTTTTATAGTGGTCCCAGGTGACCGGTAACATAACAAACCTATTAAATAGATAATTTTTTTTTTTGGTTTTAAAGTACACATGTCACCACACATGATTTATCTAAGTTTTATATTAATCAAAATTGAATTAAACAAAATCGCCAACCCCCCAAACCCCATCCATTATCCCTCCTTTAGCCCTAGCCCCGCCTTTTGAAGCTACAACAACTAATCGAGGGACAAAAAATTGACAGAACGAGGAGGAGGCTAGAATTAAGATGGAGAAGAGAGATTGAAATCAGGGCGAGGGAAGAATAAGGAGGCTGGAATCAAGATGGGGGAAGAGGAGGAGGGTCAAAATCAGACCGGGAAAGAGGAGTGGCTGGAATTGAGACAAGAAAAGGGAAGGGGCTGGAATTGGGAAGGGGAGGGGCTAAGATCGGGTCGAGGAAGGGGTTTTTCGAGGGTGGTTGGTGTTTAGGAGGAGGGGGAGGGGGAGGCTGGTCGGCGCGACGATCCAATGATGGGGCAAGAAGAGGGTCAAGTTGGTGGGGTAGGTGGCCAGAGAGGATGGTTGGTTTGGAGCTGAGGGTAATTTTTTTTAATTAATTTATATATTTTTTTTCAATTTTTTTTTATTTTTTCTAATTAGATGTTGACACATGTCAAAGGAGAAGAACAACAGAGAACGAAGGAGAAGAGGAGAGAGAAAGAGAAGGAGAAGAGGAGAGAATAAAGATAGGCGGAAATAGAAGAGGGAAGCGACAACGTTTTAGGGTTTGATAAAAAGGTTTTTTTTTTTCTTAACATTATATTCTAACGAAAAATTTCGTTGGACTATAAATCTGTGGGAAAGCATTTATATCCTGACGGAATTTATTTCCGTCAGAAATTTACGACGGAATTTTTGAATTCATCGGAAATATCCGACGAAACATAAATCTGCCGGAAATTTCGCTTTTTTCGACGGAATTTCGTGTTCGTCGGAACTAGTCCATCGAAATTTGTCTATTTTCTATTAGTGAATAAATTTAGTGTTAAATAAATTGTTTAATAGGTATTAATATAAAATTTTATTATATTAACTTTATACATATATTTTCTTAGGAAAAATTAGAAATAATGAACCCAACTTTGTCGGTTTTGTTTCAATAATCCAAACTTTGGATTATTTTAGAATAATCCGAACTTTGGGGGTTGTTGATTTTCTTGAACCCCTAACCGGTCAACAAAAGTCAATGACCTATTATATCAGGTAACTTGACACGTGTCAAGTCCTGATTGGTCCAAAAAAAAAATTTAAAAAAAAAAGCTAGCTTCCCCAACCGAGATCCACCCAAACGTCCACCATCACAAGATTCACAACCAAGCCTGTAATCCCCCGTATTTTTAAATATTTTATAAATGAAAATTTATTTTATTTATAATATTTATTTGTTACTTTCCAGAATTTAATTTCAAAAGTTTCAAATTATTAATCTGGGTCGAAATTATTTGAACAAATTATTTTATGCACCTTTATTTTACAATTTATGTCCAATAACACAAGCCTAACCCATTTGTTTACTTAATCGACCCATTATTTTTATAAGGCCCAATCCCTACCACGTTCTCTCCTATAAATACCCCATGAATCCCCAAAAATTTCCCACACAAAAAGGTTAGTCTTATTTTCTCCTTTGTTTTATTAATTTGTATAATTATAATTATTGATTTATGGGTTTTGATTTTATTGTTTGAAATTAATTTAATTAGTATCAAATTGTATTTTGATGAATTTTCAGATTTTATAAATGTCATAATTTTCAGATTTTGTAAATTTTATAACATAGGGTTTTAATTATTGAAAATCATGATTTTAGGGTTTTTATGAACAATTGATTTAGAGCTTTTATAGTAATGATGTTTTGAAATTTTGGTGATTATAACTACTGATTTTGAACTTAATTCCATATTATTTTGAACATGTAAATTCGTGTTTTAATTTTTAGATTTCCGTTCGTTAATATTAATCCCGTTTTAATCCTGATCAGATTTTGAACTCATCCGATTTTGATAAAAAAGTAGTGTTTTCAATGTGGAAACAACGTTTTAAGAAAGACGCACCACCCTCTCGTGGCCAAATTCACCTCTAAATATGATTTTCGGGCAGTTTTTGATTTTAACAAAGTTTTTTTTATATACTTAAAATATTATCCTTGAGTTTGATTGATAAAATTAATTATGTTTAAAGTTAATTAAGCATAAATATATGTTTTTAATGAAGTTTTAAGTGCTGGAAATAGTTTCTAAGTACTACTTTTGATGTTTTATAAAGAGGGTTTAATCACCCATTAAAAAGGGAGATTCTTAGGGGTTTTAAAATAATTTTCAGATTTTTATTAAACTTTAAACTTGCTGTAATTTCATGTATAAGAGTGTATTTTAAGGTTTTTATGAAGAAAATTTAAAGAACTATATATAAGCCTACAATTTTAACTAAAGGAAAGGTTTTAAAGTGTTGTTTGATTTGGATTTTGAAGGTTTTAAAGTAAGTTAGTATTGTTGTAAATTTGATTGATTGAGTATTGATTGAGATGTTATTGTTTGGTTTAGGAGAGGAATTTATTGAAGGTGATTTCTAGATAGTAAAGTGGCATACCAATTCGTTTATTCAAGGTACGTACGAGTTTCGAAACCTTGCCTTTAGGTGCATGTTTAAGGACGGATCGAGAACTTAGTATCATGTATAGGGATGACTGGGTTAAATTGTTTGGTTATACATTGTGAATTTCATATGATGTGCACTATTTTATATTGCAAGTATTATTTGTGCTCTAATTATGCAAGATACGCTTAGAGGCAAAGGTATGTGATTGGTGTAATGATTAATTTATTACTCATTCATGATTATGCAAACAGGATGAGTAAAGGAAGAATTCAAGTCTTATAAGACGAGGTTAAGGTTTTGGGGTGCCTTATGCACTCAAGGTGTTTATACACCGAGGTAGTAAAGGAATAAATAATAAATGTTGTTTTTCACTAATAAATAAAGATTTGAAATTGGAAACTTGCCTTGTTTGATTGAATTGTGTTTGGAATGTTTGTATTGTTATGCATATGAGTCATCACCAAGTCTAAACATGTAAATCACGTAAAGTGCAAGATGGATGAGCAATAAAACTCTAGATTGGTGCACTTCTGGAGTAATGACAATCAGGGGTTGGGGTACACGGGGTATTAGCCGTGTACTTTTCTCGAGGCCGTCTGATCTACGAGTCTCTTATTTCAAATATATTGTTTTTAAAACTAGGAGTTGGGTGAGATCTCATACTAACTACGGTCACGGAGTCGCGCCCGTGGTCGTTGGATGTTTATTGATGTTTCCGAAAGGAGGCATGAGGTTTTTCTTTTATTGATGTTCCAAATGGAGCATGGGTAAGACAACCTTGTCTATTGTGTAATCCAATGAATAAAAATAATTATTTACCTATTATTAATTAATGGAGTCTTAGTAATATAAATAGTTGAGTCATGTGTCGAGTCTATAAAA